AAGAGATAATGTAGGGGTTACTTTGATTGACATCAAACAATGTGAGTGAATTGAAAGTAAACTTCTAATGGATCAATAGCGACTACGAATTGAAATATAAACATAAAATGACTAGTAATGTACGCGTAAAACAAAACTTAGAAATATAAAACATAAATATTGTTCAAATAATGACTACAAGATAATAAGTAATAGATAACAAAATATGCAATTCCAAATAAAAAAATATATTGTTCCAGAGATCAAGTTAGGTGTTTGGTTCTTGATTCTCCTCATCTTCATCTTCTTCTTCAACAATCATTTCATCCACCACACTTTTTACAAGGTCAGCGATTAAGAAGTCAACATTGGGGGCGATGATTTTGGCTTGTTCCAAAGCATTATCAAAACCTGACTTGAACATTGTGGCTCACTCATCTGCGAAGTCTTCAATGTGTCAGTCCCGACATTCTATTTGAATGTTTAGACCTTCAATTCTCTTGTCGCGGCCGCAAACTTTGTGTTCTTCTTCTTCTTCTAAAAGAATCTTATATTTTTTCTCGTTAGCCATAACATCATCTCATTCTTTCTCCATGTCGTCATCGTCAAAAAGAGGCGGTCGAAGCGACGCGATGGTTTTCGACTTTCCATTTTTCACGTTTTTATGGGTGAGGTTACAACGTCTTTAGGTTGTCTGATAACCGGGTTGAACCTAAGGTCGAGGTTTCCGAAAGGGTGTTCTTAGATCGTCCGATAACCGGGTTGACTTAAGAACTAATTTGAAATGGTTCTTATGGAGTCGCCACCGATGTTTTTACCGGAAACATCGAAAAAGGAGAGAAAAGACGTTGGTCTTTCGAAAACCAACTTTGGTCGTTAAAACCAGAGTTGGATAAGGAAGTTAGGTGTAAGGGAGATATTAATTCCCTTACGACGCCCCTTTCGGGTTCCCTATGATAGGCCAATTATTTTATAAATAAACTTTTGAAAATACCCTTTTACCCTTTTTATTTGCGGAATTAAAATAACGACTACATGGCCCTAATAACTATTGTGCAATTTAATATATATAAAAAGACAGTAAAAGAGAGGGAGAGAGTGAAGAAACCTCCGGAGCAAGCTTTTGATTATTTCTCTTGAAAAATATGGTGCGTTTTGGCAGCCCTTCGCTCTTGCAACACTGAAATCGCTCTCAAAAACGCTATAAAGAGCTCTCTTAGACACTCAAAAACTCCGAAAATGCTTCGGAGGGACTCTAGGAAAAGAATTTGGAGAAAGTGTAGAAGGGAAAGTGGAAGAACTGTGTGGAATGAAAGGGGGAACACTCACTATTTATAGGGATTCGCGCTTGTCAGGTCGAGATGGCGGTCTCGACTGGCAAGGTCGAGATGGCGGTCTCGACTGGCAAGGTCGAGACGGCGGTCTCGTTTGGCGAGACGGCGGTCTCGACTTGCCAAGTGACGAGAAGGGCTTCTCGACTCTTGAAGGCGAAAATCCTTATTTTTATACAAAAAATTCTTCCTACTCTAATATGGGGCCTAATAGTCTCTCTGAGTGGCTTTTTAGGCTTCGTCCATCTTTGAATAGGAGGTCTTCTGCTCTTATTTTGAGGCTGGGTAAGATTTGGGGTCTACACTCCAACTGAGGGAACTGATCATGTAATTTGCTGAGTTCATACTTTAGAATTTGCATTTCGACTTGGGTCTGATTGAGTTTTTTTTTTTCTTTATCTTCTTTCTCTCGGGCCCGTTGCTCTAGTATTACAAGTATTGTCATTGTCTTGTTTACAACAGCTTGGCTTAAACAGGTCAGTTCCAACGTAGAAATATCACTTAAGGTTCCATGGTCAACCTCTAACAGATTATGAAGTTTGTTATGATAAGAGTGATTAAAGGATGCGTCCCAGAAAGACTTCCCTTTCGGGACTAATGACTCTACGAGCCAGTTGTCTCCTTGGTCATCAATTGGAGGTTGAGGATGGTTAGTAGCTTCGATCACGACCCCTCCTAAATTAACGAATGGAATTGACGTGGTATCATCACGTTTCCTCTTTGTTGTCTTCTCCTGTTTCGGTCCTTGACCACTTTCTTTATTGGTTTTAGTTTCACTTCCTTTCCCTTCTAAAACTCGGATTCTTCAGTTTAGAGCCTTCTTTGACAAAGACATTTGTTTTTTTGCAGAGAAATTATTATTATTACATGATTTAATAAACACATTGCAAGATCGAAGTAAAGGGGTGGAAATTATGCCTATAAAGAGTTTTAAGTCTACATATCTGCACTCTAACTTAAGAAGTTGAGCAGTATCGAAGAGTGTTTGTAACTCATCAATTATTACATTCTTGACGTCTTTGGGGGAGAGGTCATCCATTTCGATGGGTATTTGGCCACACGGTTCTTTGGTCCAATATAAGGGGAATCCCTCTAGTAGGGTTTTCTAGGTTTCGGGGGCATGAATTTTTATAAATTTTCCTTTGAAATATTTGTAAGAGGATTGGAATAAAGATAGAAGTGTTTGGCCCCCTACACTACTAACGGATGCCCAAGAGGTTCGTTTAGAAAGGAGAAATTCAAAAAACTATAAAAACATATTAATATTCAGTTCAAAACCGAAATGTTTGCATAGGATGGAAAATCCTTGGACAAAAGCCCAACTGTTGGGTTGGGGCCACATTGAGGGTAGTCAAGACCGATTTGCTGAAAGCATCAAAGGGTAAACAGACTCCTAAATTCATAAAAAAGGGTATCATACATAAAAAAGAAAGGATCTGGGTCCGATTCTTGGTTTCTACAAACAGGTTCATTAATTTCTCAAGTTTCTACTAGAATGTCAGTTTCTTTGCCAGAACAGCTTAACCCTTGTATATTCCTAAATTGTTTGAATTTTTTGCTACTAGTATAAATGGTAAATTCATTTAGGATATCATATTTGGCCTAAGGGTATAAGGATTTATTATCTAAGCTGCTAGAGCTCGCGCTAGGGAGATGGGAAGAAGAATGTGACATTAGTATGTCGGACAGATACTAAGAAAGGTTCATAGAGTAGAAACAAATACTAAAAAAGGTTCATAAACTAGAAACAGATACTAAGAAAGGTTCACAGACTAGAAACAGAGCAGAAGAATAACAATCATAGCACAGATGAATAGAAAAAACAGAGAAAACATGCATGTAGAAAAGCGAAGACGAACGGCGAACACACAATATCAAACGAAAGACAAAATAACAAAGAGGAAAATGGGAAGCGATACCTAGGAAGTTTGAAATATTATTGGAAGATGAATGAAGCATGAATCGTTTGAGTCGTGTTGTGCGAAGAGGCAAAGAGAAGAGGGAAGATGAAGTGTTTTGGAGGAAGTTGAAACGCGAATAAGTAGAAACACAAGGTAAGTGAGGACATGAGACGCTTTGACACGAGTTTTAAAGCGTCTGATATGACATTTCAGAGGTGATATGATGTTCGCTTTTTAGAAATTGAAACGTTTGAGACTTCGGGGTTGATTAAGTTGCCATGTGGAAAAAGTTGAAATGTTTGATACTTTTGGGGTTGAGCAGGAAGGCAAAGGTTCAAGCGAGATGAAGTAATTACACAAATGACAAGTCTTTGAGGGCTTCGGGGGAAATGTGTGGATGAAGCTAAGGTTAATTATTTTATGAAATATTAAGGGATGAAGTGTATTCAACTTTTATTTCGGTTTTTAGTCTTTGCATTAGAAATTTTTTCAAATTTAAGACTTGGGGGTTGTGGTATGGGCATAGAGATTGGGCTTGGTTGGGCTCAGGTCCAAATATATGAGTAAAGTGGGTCAAGATAAATTCATTTTGGGGAGATGGACTTGATTGATACTTAATAGACCCGATGCGTAAATAATACGGGAAATAAGATATTATTGGGGCCGGTAAATATAAAAAATAAAAAGGAAAAAACCTAAGGAAAGATTTGATTATAAAAGGGAGAGAGAAGACATAAACTCCATATCCTTGATCAAGAACATATATATAGCGAATAGTTGAAGAAAACATGAGAAGTAGATGTATAATTTGATTTGAACTAGTTATATATCAATAATTTTATATTATAAAATGCATTAGATAGATATACATACCTCGCTTGAGTACTTTATGAATTTAAAAGGGATTTTACAGGTTAAAAACTGAAAGAAAAAAAAGTATAATAATTCCTAAATGTAATACGTCCCAGAATATCTATTAGTCCATTTTGATTAACAAATTTAAATTTTGAAAAGTTTGATAAAGATATCACGAAAGATTTGATTATGAAAAGATACGTTAGATTCATCTATTTAATCCGTCAGTATCGAGAAAATCTATTAAATTTTGATAATAATTAATGTATCATTAACTATTCATAAAATTAGAAGGATAAATTTAATTTGATCCATTTTTTCAATATTTTTATTATAGAACATTTTTTTTATTGGATGGATCATAATACTTAAGACCTTTGGTTTTTGTCAATGATAGATAACAAGTCATTTTATTTGTGCTTAAAAAAGTTACTTTGAATGAGGCCCTCGTAGACAAAGATTCATCATAAAAATCAATTATTTTAAGAGAATTTTTTTAAGCAAATGTATGACGGGATTAAGTTTAGAGTAAAAATAAGAAATACATGAATGGCCATAAGGGCACCATTATCCACCAAAAATATATAAATAATTGGAAGGATATCAATCATTTGCAAAAATATAAGCGACTGATAGCTTACATGCACAAGCCACAATTCAGCAAAAGTTGGTCTAAACTTCTGCCTTGATATATAAGCTATAAAATAAAATGGTGTACAAACATCTTTCCACCAAACCAGGCGACTTTGGAAGAGGAGTAACAACAGGGTCATCTCAACATGCAATAAAAAAGGTCCTACTTATTCAATGAAACAAGCATATAACAGCAACCCAACAATGAAGCATAATCTCTAACATAACTAAGGTCCTTTTAAGGGGAGGCTAACTAGGCTCTTGCTCTCCACCATGTCCAGCATTAACCATTAGCTGCCACCTAAAAGGCGTGACTATGCATGCCACCACGACCTCTTCCTCTTCCAGAATAGCCATACGAGCCTCCTCCTCCTCTTCCATAATAACCACCTCGAGTTCGTCCACCGCGGCCAGTGCCACGGCCACCTCGACCACCACGGTACCTCTCAAAATCGCCAAACGTCTGCACCACAAATCACCAAAAGAATTTGACATAGTCCCTCGAAATATGAAAATCTATGAAAGGGAAAAATTACCTCAGTATCAATCTTGACTTGTTCAGAGTATCTAGTCTTTCCATTCCGTGAAGCATTATCATGCACGTTGGAGGAGAGCGAGTCAAAGAAGTCATCCTTGTTATAAATAGGCTGCAAAAACCACGAAAAGCAGAGTCAAAAAAACGATAGAAAGACAAAAAATAAACAAACATACATTAGGTGAAAACATGGATACATATCAAGCTGCACACTTGATTACATTACCTTAACATCAAAGTTTGATAAATCATTATTGTCTTCATTATCTTCGTAGTCATCATCATACGCAATTTCTTCCCCATCTTTGTCTTTTGAATGAGACTTGCTTTTACCAAGATGACCCCATACTTCATCCTTTTTGAACTTCTCATTCATTGCCATGAAATCAAAATCTTCAGTGAATTTTGTGACTGGGCGCAAACCCTGCAGCAAAACATTAATTAAATATTCCCGTACTCAACTGAATATAAGAATCGTAAGGTGTATTTGGAACAGCTTATTTGGGGTTATCTTATGACATAAATACTCACCTAAGTGTTTAGTAAATTTCAGAGGAAATAACTCATAAGCAAATAATTTAACCCTATTTTCTCTCCAAATCATATACCAAAGCGCTTACAAGATAAGCAGTTATTCAATAAGTGTCCCACTAAGCTGAATATTTGTCTAGCAGATCTATTAAATGGTGTAACCATTATTTGAAAGAAGAGAAAAATTAGAGAATATTTCATCAATTACATACTTAAAATAAGTGAAAAATGCTGTATGCAACTCAAAACTAACAACCTTTAACAATCCAAACCACCAGTCCCCCCCCATCCCTCTTAAAAACAGGAAAACTTTTAAGACTCTGAATCAACCAATACATTCTCAATTTCTATTGATATTAGTCATTCTAAAAATCAATCATGTATATAAATGAAACAGCAAATTGAACATTACCCCAATTCCTCTTCCTCTTCCGCGTCCTCTGTAACTATAGGCATGATGAGTTTGGGTAGGAACACCACCGGGCTTAAAAAAATGCAACTAAATGTCAGAATTTATCCCCAATCAAAAAAATATACGGTAAATAAGATAAGTCAATATAATTAAACACCCATACTTGTGGTCTTAACTTGGGGCTAATTTAATTTTTTAACAAAAGCACAAAGTAAACAAATTAAAAAAAGGTTCATCAACCATCACAATTCATGTACTGCCGATGCCAATCAAAACCATCCAAAAAAAAAAAACAGACAAAATCCTACTTACAATTCTCTGTGAAAGAGATAGGGAAAAGAAAGTTATGTTGGTCAGGAGGAAAAGCGTTTGTAGGTTTTATATATATATATATATATATATATATATATATATATATATATATTACAGAAAAAAATAAAAATAAATCCACAGTCCTAATTTAATCAAGGCATAGCTTGCAGGATGGGTAGAGAGCGACTTGATATAAAAGATCAAAGTGCCACATAATTGCCATATTTGCATAGTATGTGCAAAACAATCATAAGAGGGAGAGAGAGTGCGTGTGTGTGTGTGTGTTTGTACGCATAAAAATGATAGATCAGAGAAGGATACCCTGTGACTAGGCCGCGAGGTTACTGGCAATGGCAGAATTGGTGGTTGAATTACAGCAGAAACTGGCAGGGTTGGCTCAGGAGATGATGGTGATGATACCTGAACAACTTCAACGTCCTTGTGAGATGCTTGTGAAGGCTGAGCTGAAGAAACTATAGTTGGTCCAGGTTGCAACAATTGACCCGGGGTTATCAAAGAAGGAGTTGATGTTTCTGCATGGATAAAAGTTGATGATCCAACAACTGCAGGAGACAGCTGGGGTATAGTTTGATAGGGTAAACTTGAACCTGAAATTGCATTTGGTTTACTGGAGATTGGTGGCACTAAAGCATTTATATCAGGACCAGAATTGGTCAGTGAAGTCAGTGATGGTAAGTTAGAAGCTGAACTGACTGCTGAAGTTGAAACATTGGGTGCCTTGTTTGTTACTGATACTGGTAAAATTTCAGAAGCCAGAGTTGCAGAGGGTCCAGTAGTTAAGGCAGAAGATGCATGAGGTAAAGCAGAAGGTGCAGGAGGCAAGGCAGAAGGCGCAGGAGGCAAAGCAGATGGTGCTGGAGGCAATGAAGCAGATGTTACACTAGGGATACTACTACTCACAGGCAGCAAAGATGACGGTAATTCTGGCAAATTAGAAGATACAGTAGGTAAAGGACTGAAATTGGGATACTGCATTGGCTGCTGCATAGATGAAGGCATTGATAAACCAGGTGGGGGTTGAAGCAGAGATTGTTGGTGTAAATGAGTAAGCCCATTTGGGGCACCATAATATCCTTGCCAATACATTGGCATAGCAACTCTACCACCATTTGCATTTGGAGCAGGTGGAGAAGCTCCCCATGATCCTATGTTCCCTCCAGGTTGATACAAAGGTAATGGCCCTTGAAAATTTGACCCAGGAAGTCCAAGCTGAGGGGTATGGGAGCTAAGATCGGGCAAAGACCCACTTACAGGAGAAGGCACACTTGCAGATGAGGTGACTGGGCGAGGATAGTGAGACTGTAAATGCAATTCCATGTAATTAGGATGAGATGAATTGAACTGATTCAATATACAGACAAATTTGTTTTCACCAACCTGAATAATAGCTGGGTCATTATTGACTTGTGGGGTAGACTGGACAGGTGGAGAAGATTTAACCTGTAAATCCTACAGAAAAAGAACAAGACAGATGTCTCAGCTGATCTGATTCACATATAATAACCATGCAGTAACATCTTACAAAGCCTTTATCAGGTAATTACATATACTCATAAAATAGATAAGAAAATCAGGATCAGCTTTCTAACATTCCATCTCGCAGAATAAGCATTCATAAATTATAGAACCAAGTGGCACAAACACAGTTTCATTACAAAATAACACACAGCACAAGTGATATGTCATTATATCTAATGTATACTCAAATAAAATCAGATACCAATACATTAAAATTGTAAAACCACTTGTATATATTCCATGCATAATACCTTGATGTCAGTTCCACGGAAAAGTATATACTCATAAACCTTGTCACCAGCAGGAATTTGTGGGCCATCCTTTTTTCTTCCTTCTGTTCCAAAAGATCGCACTGCAAAACAAAAAGCATGTTATCTTTCTGCCAATCCAATCCACCATAGTAAAGAACATATTTAGGCCCAACAAATCAAAACCAAAATGAAAAGGAAAAGACACTTTAAAAACAGTTCGGCTAATGGCCCAATCCCCCCAACCCTAACCCTTTGTTTGCTGTAATCCTAAGACCCAAGCAGCTATACGCTGCCTCACCCTTGTTATAGAAGATTCAATTGTAAATAGAGGAGAGTCAAATGCAGACAGCTTTACAGAGCGGACAAAAATTGCTGATTGAGAAGGGAAGGGGCCATGGTGCAGCAATCATGGGGGCGGCACTATTATGGGATAATTCCCTCTAATCCAACAGCAAGAATGTCCATACTTCTACGAAACAAATACAGAGGAAGAGTAACAGAACAAGCCAGAAACAGATCAAAGCCAAAAATACCAGGAAGGTGGCAAAAACCATCAGAAATTTTCGGAGATGTTGCCACAGAATAGTGGGTCATGTTTCCGATACACAGGAGCAGGTCACTGTTTCAAATCTTGTATAAGGGAAGTGAAATCACACAGATGTCTCGCAAAATAAACCTTAAACAACACTGTATTGTAGGGCTAAACAGGAGTTTCAAACATTAACCAATGTTGCATCTATAAATGTCATAAATGGCTGCAATTCACATCGCTTGGGACACGGCAGCAAGTTGCACACAACACAACATATTGGCTGTAGTGTGCATGATACACTACAACAGATCTATAAGGCATGACACGCCACATTGGCTCCTGAGTGCATGACATACCACGACAGATCTATACAGCGTGACATGCCACATTGGCTCCTGAGTAGATGACACACCACAACAACTCAATGTTCTATGGTGCATGACAAGCACCACCACAACAACTCTATGGCACTTGACACGCACCACCGCTCTGTTGCGCGTGACACGCACCACAGATCTATGGCTCGTGACAATCCTGGAATACAGACATGTATGTCAATTATTATTTCCCCACAATCATTAATACTCCAAACATATAATCATTAATACTCCAAACATATAAGGGAAAAATATGAATCTTCATTTAATCCAGTTACTTAGTATTTGGAAGCTGTGTTATTAATATATCAGCACTGGAATATCTTGCTTTGCTCCTTTATGCATTACACGTAACTTGGGGTGTTTTATTCACCCCTTCCATTTATCAATTTTTACGCTTTCCATACACTAATCCAGAATGTACTAACTATACAATCTACAAAATCAAGCAGCAAATAACAAACTTAAAGAATTAAAGAAATCAAACCTAATTCCCTGTTGAAGTGAGAATCACATGCTAACATTCAGAGAAGAAAAATTTAGATACTCCAGCAGCTATGGACTAAAAACACACAGCATATAAAGAGACATAGTAAAACAACCGACCCAGACGCTGTAGGGAGAAAAAAAAAAACAACAAAAGACCCTTCAGAACTTCTAACAAAAGACCCCAAAAGCTATCACAAGTTCAGAATAATTCCTTCACTGTGACAAGTTCAGAATAATTCCTTCACTGTGGCAGGAATTCAAACGCGTGACGAAGCCCGCTCGTCAGAATTAAACAATTAAAATAACAACAATAAGAAAATATCAAAATTAAACTGTGAATTAAGAGATCTGAAATCAACGAACCAAATAAAACCGAAAATGAACACTATATTAAGCAAAATTCTTCAAAAAAAATAGGAGTGGATATCAGAAGAATACCATTTCTTAGACCAATACTGGACTCTTCAGTGTTGATGTTGTAAAGAATGCCTTCGTATCTGATTTCACTCTTAGAGGTCAAGCTTATCAAGCTGCCAATGTAGGAATCGGCAGCCGAACTTGACCGAGCAGCACTCTCAGACGCCATAATCACAAGCGGAATTGGGTTTTGAGGCCTCTCGACAGAAGCCTCTCTAATGTAACCGGTTTCAAGTTTCAACACTGAGGTGACGAGACAGAAATGAGAATATTCATTAGGGTTTGAGTTTTAATCTTTTTGATCTTATCTTTCAGTATAAATGGTATAATAACTTGTTTATTACACAGGGTGACACTCATCAGTTATTGCAGAATATATGATTAGGAATTGATTTAAAAATTTAAGTTAGTACATTAGTATGTGTACATCAAATTTAAAAACATACTGAAATATTAATAAATAGCATATATTTAAAAATAATAATTCAGGTTAATTAAGAAAATTGGTCAACAATATTTAATTTATTTATTTTTTTAAACATAACAAAAATGACTAAACTATTTAATTTTATAAGAAGATAAGAGAACCGTTTAGAAGTGAAATTTCAATTCAGTAAAACAAACATCTTACAAATAATCCGAAAAAACTTAGTTATAATTTGTTTATATTTAACTGCAATAATGAATTTTTTTATTCATATACAAAATTTAATGGAGTGATTGGAAAATGTATTAATTATAGAATATAAGTAATTTAAGTCTCAACGTGTCATTTTTTTTTTGACACAAAAAATAGAAAAAAATTATATTCAATCATAATATTTAGAATATTCAATTAGCATTGATGTAAAATCATACAATACTTAAAACCCGCAATTTGGTATAGTTGAAACTTAAAATAGAAAGTTATACCATTGTAATACCTAAAGACATAAAATTGCAATTAGTATATATATAACAAAATATTTAGGGTAGATTATATTAATTTAACAAAAAAGTAAATTACATCTAGATCCTAAATTCTTTAAATGTTACACTACATCTATCTTTCCTTTGTTTAAAAACATTATAGTGACATTCATTTCGACATCAAACAAACATTATATGAGGTAAAACAAAAAGTACAAGTGAATCAAGAAAATCTTATGAATTTTTAATGTAATAACTTATTTAAATAATTATATTACATATTTTAATTATCAATATATATATTAATTATTTTGTACATTATGTAATGAAACAATTAATATGAATTATAGAAAATAAAGTAGTTTTTCTTTATTTTATAAAATTATATTTTAATCCAATTATCAAAAATAATATTCTTTGCGGTTTATTATTAATAATTATTTTCGTTTTCAATATTTCTATTATTATTATTAATATTTTTTTAACATAAGTCCTATTTTATATATATATATATATATATATATATATATATATATATATATAAAGAGCAGTTAAAGTATTTTTTTATAGAATTTTAATTATTTATTAAATTAGAGATCAAATATATATTTTGTGAGATTTATTCTTCTTTTATTCTTTAATCTTCTAGATTATATTATGGTACAATAGTATAGATTAATAATTATGACCCTTATCAGAGAACAAAAATCTCAATTTTGTAATTATTTATATTTTTTTACCTATAATAGACATAAAATTTTCTTAGGTTTACTTTAAAAAAATCTAAAATAAATTAAAGAACAAAATGCCTAATGGAAATCAGACATAATTTAATTTAAATTAACTAATATAATATAAATGATTCATTTTATATATTTAATTTTAATATTTTTCATAAAACCTTTGTGTTTGTAACTAGTTTGTTTATGAAGAATTGAGGAGTAAATTTAAAAAAAAAAAAAATATATATATATATATATATATATATATATATATATATATTATGTATTTGTGTTGATTTGATGTGACATTCATCAACTCGTATTTGTAAGATCTATTATTTCATTTCAAAAAAACTTATCTATAATATATAATATTACACTTTTTTTTATTTAATAGTTATGTATATATATTTTTTTATTATATATACACATATATATTTATTAATGCATAATCTCAATCTGTTATTATTATATATGATTTGTTTAGTTATTTATATTATTATTACTAATATTAATTTTTTTCATTTTTAATATAAATTTATGTTAATTATATATATATATATATATATATATATATATATATATATATAATCATGTGTCAATTAATTATATTTTTATTATAATTAAATTAAATTATAAACATATCTGAATCATAACATTTTGAAAAACAATAAAATAAATGAATTTACATAACTGATTATATGGTATAAATAATTGATTATATAAATATAAATAATTATGAAAAAATATTATATATATATATATATATGAGTTAATATTAATAACATATATAATTATAGTTATACATGATTTTATAATTTCTTAATTATAATAAAGTAAAATTATATTTAAATACAAATTTATTCTTTTCATAATTTTATTGATTTTATTTTTTATTATATTCTTTTTTTAATTAGTACTTAAAATAAATTTTTATACATAATATTTAATTGATAATTTAAAAAATATTTTTAAATGATTTTAAAATTTTAAAAAATAATTAATTTAAAATTAATAATTTTAATAAAATAATTTATATTTACTTTTATTAAATTTTAAGTTATATACTTAATAATTTAATAAGTTATTTTATTATATATTTTTTAATTATTTCAAATCAATTATAAAGTTTTTTTCAATTTTTTAACTTTTATATTAAAAAAAATAAACATTCATAAAAAAATCTAAAATCATTTTTATAAACATTTTATTATATCTAAACAAATATATATAATATAAATTAATTACTTTATATTAATTTATATCACACTCTAATTTATATTTATTTTATCTTTTATCAATGTAAAATATTACGGTAATTATATACTTGATGTATTCTCTTAATCAACCTCTTTTCTTATAATATTTCTACTAATTTATTTTCACTTGCACTCACTTTCTATTATCTTTATTCTTTTATTTATTTTTTTATTTTTCATTTCCTCTTATCTACTCTCCCGTCTAACAAGCATATAAGCCTTACTTCGTATTAATAATTATTTGACAGTGAATTCAAATTTAAATTTTCATATTATACTAATGCATTATTTAACCCAACTAGAAATGTATTAACAAGTTTAAATTTAAGTCATATAATTATTTTGCTTAAATTAAAAATTATATTATTTTTAAAAAATAATATTTTTTTAACCTTAGTTGTCAACCTTTTAACTATCTTTATTTTTAAATATTGAGAACCATTTAAATTTTAATATAAGATTACATATAAATTTAATTTATAATTAAAAATAAATTTAACTAAAATAATTTTTATTAATGAATACAGAAATTGAATATTTGTTATCTTTAAATTGAATCATTATTAATAATTTTTGAATAAAATATTATTTTGCTTTCCTGTATTTATGTAATAAGATTAAAGTATTAATAAATACATGAAACAGTGTATTTTATATTTTAAAATGTACGTGATTTTATAAATAAATTTTCTAACAACATTCTATATATTTTTATAAAATTCAATTTAAATGGATAAAAAACGGAGTAGAGATGAAAATGATGCTTAATCATGATAAAATATTAATAATGATTTTGAATTGTAATAAAAATGTAAAATTTCACCTGTTATAACTAGAATATATAAAAAGGTGCAACATGATATTATCCTCTCTTTTTTATTATTAAATTATATATCCAAAAATATTTGAAAACAACCAGTTCGAGAATAATTTTATAATATCTCAAAATAAACCCACTATTTAAAACCCTTGTTCTTTGACCATATTGGACTTTTAAATAAAAATTTAACTTAATTTGTTTCATTTCAAACTTTAAAGCTCAAGACGAGGGAGAAATGTTTAATTAAAAAACTTTAAAGTTGAATACAATATTTATAACCTCTGAAATTTGAGGCATGACATGAAATAAACTTGATAAAAAATATTTTTCATTTTATTTAAATTAATGATTATTTAAAGTTTGAAAATATAATAAATAATCTGAAACTAAATCAATATATATTGTTATTTAGTGAAATTGAATTCATATATATTGAATAAAGTATTGAAGTCAAATATATATATATATATATATATATATATATATATATATATATAATATGAAAAAGAGACTCCGTTAGATATGTTTAATCATTTTTTTTATAAAAATTAATTATTGATAAATTTAATCATTAATTTACACAAATAATAAGATATGATAAAATAATGTTGTACTTATAAAAAAATTTGTAAATCGTAAAAGAATGCTATATATACTTAACCTGTTATTTTCTTATTTATATAATTTTATTGACTCCTCAAATCAAACACTAAAATAAAAACGTTATTAAATAGGATTTATTTTGTTTTCATAATTTTCTATTTTATTATTACCACCAATATTTTCCAAAAAAGAAATGGCCGTTTAATTTTCTTCTATCAAATAAATATCCCATTGGTCACATATCACAACATTGCAATCCAAATTGGGGGTACAAAACCCACTGATAAAGAACGATAGCTCTTTCCCAGAACCTTTAAACCCTTTTACGTTCCAAAATTTCACACTTCCCCAAACACACGAACCATCCCTTTTTTTTTTTCTTTTCCGGCGAAACGCTCACCGTCGTTTCGATTTCTTCGATAGGGCAACAAATTTTCCGGCGATTTTCGGTTACAGCGCAATGTTCACGCCGCAGAGAAAGGCGTGGCCGAATGCTGCGGTGCCGTTCACGCCGCACCGAGGCGGTGCTGCTACGGTTTCCGCTTCTGCGAAGGGAAAGGCCATCGCCGATGGTCCTCCTCCACCGCCGTTGGGGTCTCTCACCGAAACCACCGTACCGGTGGGGTCCGACACGGGGAACGCCGAGGACTGGAAGCGGTTCATGGAGCTAGGGCTGTTGGATGAAACTGTGATGCAAAGGAAGGACCACGAAGCACTCGTGGAGGAATTGTCGAGGCTCAAAAGAGAGGTTAGTCTCGGTGAAGGTTTTGCAAATTTCCATTGATATTGATTTAAGGCGCATTTCTAGGGTTGTGTTTTTTTCCTATTCGAATTCTACGCGTCTGAGCTAACGTTACACGTTTATGATTTTTGTTTTCCTTTTAAGATAACATTTGTTTAAATTTATGATTTATTGACGTTTAGTGTTTGGTATTTATGATTGATCAATTTGAATCTATAGTTGCAGTTGGTCAATAATGTTTTGAATATTGATATTGGCATCGCTATTGGTGCATGTATGATTAAGAGGAAGGAACTCTTTTGACTGATTCTAGTAGCAGCTTAAGAGCAAGTAACTGTGTTGGATTACTGGTAAATGTGGCTGTGATTATAGTTGCAATGCAGTTGTAGAGACTTCAAAAGATATTGTAGCCGCAGATACAGTTCAGATTGCAATTCAAAACCTATTGAAACAAGTGTTGTAGTTGATAGAGTAATGAAAAGAAATCATTTTATGCTATTTAATATAAATGGTTGATACAGCAAGGGTTGAAATTATGACATGGTTGACTTTGGATGGACCAACAGACGGTAGAAAAGAGCCATTTAAAAGTTTACTTAATGGATGAAATTTCAAAACATTATCAGTAGCTTTTTGCATATACTCTAAAATCAAATATTTGTTGTAGGAAATGTGTAGAAGGACTTTTACAGGGGTGAAAGTATGATATACTGGTACTTATGTGTATTTAAAGTATGACACACTTCTTAGACATCTTGTTAATATGAATCACTGTTGATAAGGATTGGGTATTATGGAATGCCTAAATACAATATCCAGTAGCATAAGCTGTCCCTGTGTCTATCAGCTGTCTATTGCCCACTGGTAGCAAAACACCGAGACAAGAAGTAATGTGATCCTCTTTAATTAATATAAAGATTTAACATAGTTAGTGCTTTCTAAATCTTGATACTTAATAGATATGTATTGGTGAAGTATCAATACTTAAAGAAAGTGCAAGTGTTTGTTTCTGTTGTGGTTAATAAGGAGGAAGGGATGGAGGCAGGGAGACAGGGTAAGAAAGAAGGGAGTTGGTGCGAGGGAACTAGACCTCTCCATCATTGGTTACTATTGCATTTGCTTTACATTTCTTTGAGTTCTGTATTTGTATACACTTGCTAGGCCCTATTTATCATGTATAACCTAGATTTTTGGTCAAGACAGAAGATGCATACAATGTTTCTATATTTTTTACTTCTTGTTTGTAATTCTCATCCAGGCTTCATATCACTTGGGAGGGCTGTTTAGAAGGTTAATGGAAACATATACGTGAATTTTTGTTGTATCATTTGTTAATTATAAGAATGATTTTTGCAAAGGGAATACTGATAATTCTTTTTTATAATTTAGTGAAATCATTTTCAGTAAAAATGTCTCCACTAAAAATGGAAATTTACCCCCTTTTTGTTCACTATATCCTTGACAATTTGTTGTTAGTATTAGTAAAAACATATCAAATTGAATGTGAAGAAAAAAAACGAAACAATAACCAAAATTGTCCTAAATTGCTTAGAATACTCTATCCGGTCCTTAATATAAGTGATTTCTAATGTAATCCCACAAATAACTAAAAGTAATTAATTCAGTTTATTTTATTTTATTTTTTTAAATGTTACCAATGTACAAATTACCCTTATTATTAATGACTTTTAAAATTATTTTCTCATTTTTTATTAAGTAAAAGCACTCATTTATAATATATAATAGGGGCAAATAAGGAAAATAAATCTAATGCTTTATGGAAATTATAAATGCCTTCTAAAAGGACCCCAATTTCTTCTAAGCTATGTCTTATATTAAGGACCGGAGGCAGTAATTTTGAAGATTGGAGCTTTGAGTCAAATGATAAATTTAAGGTTGAGAAACACACTGCAGTAGGAAAAAAGTAATTCATGTCTTTCTATGCGAGGTATATAAAAAGGCTCTGTGATTTTACTCTTGGTTTAATTAATTTCCTTTAAACTTGATTCAAAGTTCCTAACTCATTAAACGCAACTTGTTAATATGTTTTTATGATATCAAAATGAAATCTGAGCAGGTAATAAAAAAGTACAAAAACATATATACTTGCGTATAATTTTTGAAATATTTTATGGTTGCAGAGTTTCTCAATATTGTGTCCGACAATGTTATCTCAAAAGTGTGCTCCCGTGGAGATCATTTGTCATTTGTCATTGATGAACTAGTTTGTTCCTTTTATTTTTTTTTACAGCTTTTTGACTACCAATACAACATGGGCCTGCTATTGATAGAGCAGAAAAAATGGAGTTCAAAGTTTGATCATCTGAGGCAACAACTAGCTGAAACTGAGGAGATTCTAAAACGAGAACAGTCAGCACATTTAATTGCACTAGATGAAGTTGAGAAGCGAGAAGAAAATTTGAGGAAAGCATTAAACACAGAGAGGCAATGTGGGGCTGATGTATGTTTTTGCTTCTATCTTCAATTATGTTGGCTTGCAGTTTTACTTTCCTCTGTTGATGCTGTTATCATTTTTCTCTGGTTACTGTTGGACGAGCTGATCATCGGTTGGCCTTTAACTTTTTCCTCTCTTCCTCTTCCCTCCTTTCCATGAGCATAATTTGGAGTCTTTAGGCATTACCTTTCCCTAAAGATTGCAATTGATAGAGGATAAATTATGGTGCACTGAAAACTTTAGTTTTATTTGTTTTTGGTTCCTGTTTTTGTAATTATTACAAAAATGTCACATTATTTTAACTAGGTTTCCTTTTTTTTTGAAGCTTTTTATATGAAATGTTAAAAACAAGAAAACAGGAATAGTGAAAATAGCGATCATTTTCATAAACCTTTGGCTGCTCTCTTTCCTTTATAACTCTTCGTATTGTTGAATATTTTTTGAGTTTCTCATGTTGTTAGGGTTGTTGCTTGAGATGTTTGTTTAGATGTTCCTTTATTTATGTTGATGTTGCAAAAATCAATTAATTTCAGCTAGAGAGAGCTTTGCGTGCAATGCAAGAAGAGCATGCCCAAGTCCAGTCTTCCTCCCATACAAAGCTAGCTGAAGCTAGTGCATTGGTTGATGGAATTGAAGAGAAGTCTTCAGTGGTTGACAAGAAACTGCTTGAGGCAGACACTAAGCTTGCTGAGGTAAACAGAAAAAGTGCAGAGCTGGATATGAAATTGCGAGAGTTGGAGGCTCGGGAAAGCTTGCTTCAAAAGGAGCGTTTGTCTTTAGCTACGGAGTATGACCTATTCTCTATAATTTATGAATGTTTCTTTTCATTATATTTATTCAGCCCTTATGCATTGCAATTTGATTCATTAAGTTTGTATGGTTACAGTCGAGAATCATTCGAGGCAACATTCTATAAACAAAGGGAAGATTTGAAGGAGTGGGAAAGGAAGCTACAACAAAGAGAAATTATGCTATGTGATGGTAGGAAAAATATCATTGAGAAAGAAGAAAAGTTAGTTGAAACTGAGAAGAACCTTAAGCAGAAAGAAAGAGACCTGGAAGTGTTGGAGAATAAAATTGATTCGTCTAATTCTTTATTGAAAGAGAAGGAAGCTGAGAATATTAAAAGAGTAGCAAATTTAAATGTGGAAGAGAAGGTGTGTTATGTGCTTTTTCACTGTGTCTGATTTTTGTGTTCTGTATTTTATATGCAAACATTTATGTGCTGATACTTTCCATTCTTTGTATGTTTTGATGATGGTTGCAGAAAGTGGATTCTTTGAAGAGCACCCTGGAGGTGAAAAAGAAAGAATTGCTTGCACTTGAACTAAAACTTAGTGCCAGAGAAAGAGTGAGTCTAGAAATCTGGTTGCTTTACAATACAATAAAATGATGTGCAAAGTTGAATGAAAGAACTGCATGATACGTGTTAGATATTGTTTAGATATTATTTGATATTGTTAAGATATTGTTAACCACAATATCAAACAATATCTTCTGTTTATTCTGTTATTTTCAGTTACTCTTTTAGTTATATCTCTATTATAAATAGATTACCCTATGTGTGATTTATACATAAGGGAGATTAATCTTAAACTCAATTTCTTCTATATTCAACATGGTATTAAAGTTTAAGGTTATTTTGAAATTTTTTCGCCTTTGACCACTGTTGGAGCTGCCACTACCACCGCTATCTTTGCCGGTTAAACTGATCTTCCACATCAGAAAAAAGTTATTTTTTTTATTGGACATTATTTGGTAGTGTGAAAGTGCATGTATAGGAAAGTTCTGACAAGGAAAGACTTGGTATTTAAGCGTATTCATTAGTGACCTACCTCTTTTTCCTGGGAACTTACCTGGTGTACTGGTTCATGCCGTTGTCATTGTCGCCTCCGCCCTTTATGACTTCTTCCGCTCCTTCTAGTACTTCCAATTCTGTCAGTACTACTTCTGATCCTTTCATTTGCACTGACTATGTTAATGTACACTTATCCATTGACAAGTTAACTGACCCTAATTATGCCACATGGTCATCAGACGTCAGATTATGGCTTAAGAGTCAGAAGTATCTTGATCATCTTGTCCCGAAAGCACCTACTCTCAATTATGTGTGGTTCTCAAGGGTACTATTGATCCTTCGTTAAAACAAATTTTTTCGTTCCTACGAAACATGTGCCAAAATCTGGGAACATGACAAGTTATTATACACCAATGATACTCAACGTTTCTATGATGTTTGTTCTAAATTTGTAGATGTTATTGTCTCTAAACATCAAGATTCTATGACTGATTATATGGCCAAAATTCATGCTTTTTTTCATGAGTTCAATGAGTTATTGCCTTTCCCCTGACCCTGCCACCGAGATAGCACAATGATCAAAGCACATTACATGGACTTGCTAATCAATATTCACATATTTGTGATCAGATTTTGGGTTCTTCAGTTGTCCCCACCTTAACTTCAACCTGTTCCACTCTTTTGCGTGTACCAGCAAAACCCAACCCTGACACACTTGCTTATGTTAATGATTCTTCTGCATTGGTATCTTACCGTGATGACCGAACTCGCCCTAGCAAACAGGGAAGAGGGCGTCCTAAGTGTGAACATTGTGGCAAACTAGGTCACAAGATTGACCATTGTTATGCATTACATGAGTGTGAACATTGTGACAAGCTAGGTCACAAGATTGACAAGTGTTATGCATTACATGGTCGTCCTCCTTAATCTGCTGCAGTTGTTCAGACTGATTTTTCCCCACCTTTATCTGCTAAAGATCCTCCTTCTATTTCATCTTATGTTCAACAAATTTCTCAAATGGTATAAGGATCAACAGTCTTTTAGTTCCACTGTGTCTGTCGTACACACAAGTACATCTTTTGCTGGTCTGACCCAATCTTCTTCTGGTCCTTGAGTTTTTGATTCAGGAGTCACTGATCATATTACCGTTAACAAATCTTTGTTCTCCTCTTTATCTTCTCCTAATCCTTTACCTTCTGTTACACTGACTGATGACTCTAGAGTATCATCTCATGGTGTTGGAATTGTTAAATTTTTTTCCTTCTTTAACCATTGATAATGTTCTTTATGTCCCTGGGTCTCCTTTTAACTTGTTATCCTTCAGTCGTCTAACTCGTTCTCTTGATTATGTTGTTTCTTTTATCAATAATTCTGTATGTTTACAGGACCAGAGTTCGAAACAGGTGATTGACACAGGATGTGAGTCTCATGATCTTTATTATTTTCGTCCTTTTACACATGTTAGTGCAGTTATGGAGTCTCTCTCTCTTCTTCATGCTCAGTTAGGTCATCCAAGTCTTGCCAAGTTACAACAGCTTGCCCTTGCCTTATCTAAGTTGTCTAGTTTGGCATGTGAGTCGTGTCAATTAGGCAAGCATAGTTGTACTTCATTTTCTCGTAGTGTCACACGTGGTGCTTCGTCCCCTTTTGTCGTGGTTCACTGTGACATTTGGGGACCTAGCCGCGTTAAGTTTACTTTAGATTTTCAATACTTTGTTATTTTCATTGATGATTATTCCAGATGTACTTAGTTATTTTTGATGAAAAATCGTTCCGAAGTATTTCATATTTTTCAATCTTTTTTTAATAAAATACAAACTCAGTTCGGTGTTTTTATTAGAGTTTTGCGCAGTGATAATGGTCGTGAATATCTTTCTCATTCTTTTAAACAATTCTTGGCTTCTCATGGTATTTTGCATCAAACTTCTTGTGCTTATACACGTCAACAAAATGGTGTAGCTGAACATAAAAATAGACATCTTATTGAAACAACTCGCACTCTTTTAATTCATGGAGAGGTTCCTCAACATTTTTGGAGTAATGCTCTTCTTCCTGCATGTTATCTCGTTAATCGCATGTCTTCTTCGGTTTTAGATAATAAAGTACCTCATTCTATTTTATTCCCTCATAAACCACTTCATTCCTTACTTCTAAGAGTTTTCGGGTCTACATGTTTTGTTCATAATTTTAGTTTTGGTCTTGACAAGCTTTTTCCTAGATCACATAAATGTGTTTTCTTAGGGTTTACAAGATCACAAAAAGGATACAAATGTTTTTCTCATTCTCTTAACCGTTATTTTGTGTCTGCAGATATCACCTTTGATGAGTTCTCTTTTTATTTTAAAAGTCAATCTTCACCTCTGTCTCCCTCCAATCTTGTCAACACTCCTAGTATATTTAATGTTCCTGTTATTTGTGACCCTCTAACTGTGTCTTTTTCACCATTAGTTTCTGCTCTGCAGTCAACTTCTTCTTCACTGCCTTTTTAGGTTTATAATTGCTGAAACCAATCACAACCACCACCATTGACTTCACTCAAGTGCCAACTACTCTGTCTCCTCCGGATGTGACACCCGAGTCTGACATTCCTATTGCCCTCCTAAAAGATATCCGTTCTACACGTAATCCCTCTCCTCATTATATTGGTTTGAGTTATCATCAACTGTCACTAACTTTTTATACATGTCTTTCTTCTCTTTCTTTTGTGACCATTCCAAAAACTATCCGTGAAGCTTTAGCCCATCCCGGTTGGCGTTAGGTCATTTTAGATGAACTAAGTGCTGTTCATAATAGTGGAACTTGGGAGTTGGTCTCATTATTGTTTGGGAAATCTGTTGTTGGTTGCAGGTGGGTGTTTGTTATCAAAGTTGGACCTGATGGTACTATTGATCGCCTCAAAGCTCGTCTTGTGGTCAAAGGTTATACTCAAATTTTTGAGTTAGATTATGGAGATACCTTTTCTTCCGTGGCAAAGATGACATTTGTTCGTTTATTTATCGCCATGATCGCTCTTCAACAATGACTTCTTTATCAACTAGATGTTAAAAATGTTTTTTTCAATGGTGATTTGCAAGTTGAAATCTATATGGAGCAATCTCCTGGGTTTGTTGCTCAGGGGGAATCTTCTGGAATGATATGTTGTCTTCGCAAATCCCTATATGGCCTAAAACAGTCTCCTAAGGCCTGGTTTGGAAAGTTTAGCAAGGTTGTTCAACAATTTGGTATGACTCGGTGTGAAGCAGATCACTCTGTCTTTTATCGACACTCAAGTGTTGGATGTGTTTACTTGATAATATATGTTGATGATATCGTTCTTACAGGTAGTGACAACCATGACATCTCTCAGTTGAAACATCTCTGTCACCATTTTCAAACCAAAGATCTTGGCAAACTTAGATATTTCTCGGGTATTGAGGTGACACAGTCCAATGATGGTAATGTTATATCTCAGAGGAAGTATGTCATGAATATTTTGGAGGAAACTGGGTTGATGAGTTCAAAGTCTGTTGATATACCCATGGATTGCAATACTAAACTTATACCTGATCTTGAGCAGTATAGAAGATTGGTTGGAAAATTGAATTATCTTACAGTTACTCATCCTGACATTTCCTTTGCCATCAGTGTGGTAAGCCAATTTCTTAATTCCTCATGTGAAGGTCATTGGAATGCAGTCATTCGTATCTTGAAGTATATTAAAGGATCTCTTGTAAAAGGATTGTTATATGGTTCTAATAAGCATACAAGAGTTGTTTGTTACTCAGTTGCTGATTTGGTAGGATCTCCTTCGGATAGAAAATCTACATCTGGATATTGTGTCTCCATTTGTGGTATGGAAAAGTAAGAAAGAGAGTGTTGTGGCAAAATCTTGCGTAGAAGCAGAATATAGAGCTATGACCTCAGTTGCCTCTGAACTTGTCTGGCTCAAGCAATTGCTTAGAGAATTATAATTTAGAGATGTCACTCAAATGTCACTTGTGTGTGACAATTAGGCTACTCTTCATATTAACTCTAACTTGGTAGGATCTCCTTCGGATAGAAAATCTACATCTGGATATTGTGTCTCCATTTGTGGTATGGAAAAGTAAGAAAGAGAGTGTTGTGGCAAAATCTTGCGTAGAAGCAGAATATAGAGCTATGACCTCAGTTGCCTCTGAACTTGTCTGGCTCAAGCAATTGCTTAGAGAATTATAATTTAGAGATGTCACTCAAATGTCACTTGTGTGTGACAATTAGGCTACTCTTCATATTAACTCTAATCCCCTCTTTCATGAGAGGACCAAACACATTGAGATTGAGTGTCATTTCATTCGAGAAAAGATTATGTCTGGAGACATCAAGACTGAGTTTGTTAACTCAAGTGATCAGTTAACAGATATTTTTACTAAATTTTTACGGGGCCTAGAATTGATTATATTTGTAACAAGCTTGACACATACGATTTGTATGTTCCAGCTTGAGAGGGAGTGTTAGATATTGTTTATATATTATTTGATTTTGTTAAGATATTGTTAGATATTGTTAACCACAATATCAAATAATATCTTCTGTTATTTTCAGTTACTTTTTGTCGTATCTCTCTATTATAAATAGATTACCCTATATGACATATAAGAGATTAATCTCAAACTCTATTTCTTCAATATTCAACACGTAAATCTGTAACCTCATAGTTCATGTGACCTATAAATGAAATCTGGAAGAGATATTATTGAGAGAGATATTCATCTTGACATATTAGATTCCAAAGATTCTTAACATGATGCATATGCTTTTGCTCATGCTGAGACGCAAGATTGGTAATTTTTTGGGTGTAAAATGAGATGACTTGATCATTACAAGTTTCTAAGAGCACACAGTAAACTCCATCTTGAATGAATGAATTTTTTCTAGGGCTAATGATTCTTTTAGTTTCTTCATCTGCACAATGTCCCAGGCAGATATTAGTTCACAATTGAAAACTGTGACTGTAATATTAAATATGCTTTGCTTGTATACCAACATCTTGACATGTTTCATTTATGTATTTCATAATATAATTGAGGAATATATTATTTGAATAACATTAATATACACGTTGTCAGTTCATTTTATTTTCTTTTAATTCTTTTACAGGATAATGAAAGATTAGAACATCTTTTCCACTGAAAACTTACTACTTTTTAAAGCAGTGTTTGCATCGTAGGGAGAGACCAAACACTGAAGCCATGCTTTTACTTTATACATTAGCATATAATAGTTTAAAGATCTATTTGCTTAACTGAATTCCTTTATGATCAACATGGTAATTAAATTTTTTATAGTTTACTTTAGGAATGCCAACTTTACGCAATTTTTACTGAGTGAATAAGGAAAAGAAATTGAAAGTGGGAATTCACCATATAAACCCATAAACATGAATATGTATTTTGTGAGCAGAAGTATACATTTGTGACTTGAGTAACATGCATGATTTTATTGCATTCTGACTGTTGTACCTATTGTTTCTATAGGAGGGGATCCAGAAGCTCCTTGATGAACAGAAGGCTACACTGGATTTGAAGTTACAGCAGGTTGAACTTGAAATGGAACACAAGCAGGAATCCCTTGTTGAGGAATTTAGAAGCAAGGAGGAAGTCTTGGAGCAGAGGGAGGTTGAAGTCAACCATAGGGAAATAAAAGTTGGAAAAGAAGAGCAGGCCTTGAGTAAGAAGGCTGAGAGGATAAAGGAACAAAGTAAGGAGATTGAAACAAAGTTGAAATCTTTAAAGGAGAAAGAAAAGACTATGAAAATCAGAGAGAAAGAATTAGAGAAGGAAAACCAACAACTGCTTGCTGATCGAGATAGCCTTGAGAACTTAAATTCTGAACTTCAGAAGATAAAAGCTGAGATTTCTCAGCAGGAGCTGCAAATATGCCAAGAGGCTGAGAATTTGAAGCTTATTGAAAGTGATAGGTTAGAGCATTCTCGGTTGCAATTGGAACTAAAGCAGGAGATAGAGCATACTAGATTGCAGAAGGACTGTCTTATGAAGGAAGCTGAGAACTTAAGGGAGGAGAGACAGAGGTTTGAGAAAGAGTGGGAAGTACTGGATGAAAAGAGAACAGAAATTACTAAGAAGCAGCATGATATTGATGTGGAGAAAGAAAGCTTAAGAAAACTTCAGAACAGTGAAGAAGAAAGGTTGAAAAGTGAGAAACAACGAATGCAAGAACATATAAAGAAAGAGCTGGAGAAGCTTGAATTGGAGAAGGAATCATATAGAGATTCCATGAATCAAGAGAAACTTATTTTGTCTGAAAAGGTGAAAAATGAGAAGGCTCAAATACTTCAAGATTTTGAATCGAAGACAAGGAATCTTGAGAATGAAATTCAGAAAAGACAAGAAGAAATGGAGAAAGATTTGCAAGAAAGGGAGAGAAAATTTCAGGACGAGATGCGAAGAGAACTTGATAGTATTAATGTTTTGAAGGATGCTACTGAGAAGGAATGGGAAGAAGCTAAGGCTGAAGGAATTAGATTAGAAAATGAGAGGAAGGAACTTGAGTTGAACAAGCAGCAGCTGCGGTCAGGCCAGCATGAGATGCGTGAAGATTCTGAAATGCTTATGAATCTCAGTCAGAAGGTTAAGAAAGAACGTCAACGCCTTGTGGCTGAAAGAAAACATTTTCTTGAACTTGTTGAGAATCTAAGGAGTTGCAAGGGCTGCGGTGAAGTTGTTGGGAACTTTGTAGTATCTGATATTCAATTACCTGACATTAAGGAAAGGGTGGCCATTCCCTCACCCATATCCCCTGTTCTGAATTATAAGTCTCCTAAGAACTCCCAGGATATTGTAGCTGCTTCTGACGTTAACTATTCTGGATCTATAAAGCCAGTGTCTTGGCTCCGTAAATGCACATCCAAGATTTTCAAATTGTCCCCAAGTAAAAGAGCTGAAGCTGTTAGTGCTTCAGGGACATCACCACTGTCAGATGTGAATCTTAGTGTAGGAAAAGCAGATGAGCCTGCATCTCTTCATAATGTAGAAGGAGCTAGACTTATTCTTGATGAACATCAACCAGCTGGTGGGATGGCATATCACTTCACAGATACTCCACACCTCCAATCTGATAACATCGATAAAGAGGTTGGTGATGAATACTCTCTATCCATAGGTGATCATAGCCAGGTAGAGAGTCTGGTTGATGGAGATCTAGGTGATTCTCAGCAGTCTGTTCCAAAGCTTCGTCGGGGAAGACCTCGGAGGAAAAATAAATCTGGAATTGCTAGAACACGGTCAGTAAAGACTGTTGTTGAAGAGGCCAGAGAGTTCCTAGGAAAAGCCCCAAAGAAATTAGAAAATGCAAGTTTGCAGTCTCTGAATACTGATAATATAAAAGAGGACAGTCGAGAAGACTCTAGTCATATTGAGAAAGCCATTGGTAACACTGGAAGGAAGCGTCAATGGGCACAAACTTCTAGGGTTACAGAAAGTGAGCAGAATGCTGGTGATAGTGATGGACAATCAGAGAGTATTACAGCTGGTGGGCGCAGGAAGAAGAGGCAAACAGTTGCTCCACCTCCCCAAGTTACTGGGGAGAGGCGATACAATCTCAGACGGCATAAGACGTAAGTTTAGTCTCAGGCCTCATGCGGACCATAGCACTACACATTATATCTTGTGCTGATTGTGTATTTATTGGGGGATACTCTTGAATGTCAGGTCTGAAATGAATATAGATGGTTATTGATGTTTAGTTTTATATTAACTCTAAAGGAATGATACGTTTGAGATAAATTCATGGTTGATTAGAATGTCATTTGATGTTTCCAACTGTTTATTTGATTAGTCAATGTGATCTGTAGATTTCGGTAATAGCAAGGATGAGCTTTATTATATTGTCGATGTTAAATAGTGGTTGGAAAATTATATTTTGGCATAATCACTCAAGTGTGAAAATATTTTATATTATATGGGCATAAACACTAATTTAGATACTGAAAAAATATTAAGATGGAAGTTTCTGTTCTGTAGTTTTTTTTATTGAAATAAAATTGGTTATACTAATAATGAAAGGTAAGAGACTTTTTTAACTGAGTCCAATAGCCTGGCCTTACATAGTGAGATAAAGCTTTACTCTTGGTTATCGAAAACGTTTTGCTTAAATGGGAAGATCCCAATTGAAAACAATTTTGGGTTTGGACAGCACTAGTATTACTTGCCTGTCCAGCTGCGTGGTTGATACGTTCCTGGTAGTAAATATTTTACTTGTGTATAGTGGTTGATTTAGCTACTTTTTAATGCCATTTGAATTTATGTGAGAGGATGTTTAGGGGGTGTTATTGCAATTTTTTTTTTGGATTGTGTCTGTTAAGTTTATTTAGCAGTAAAACCATCATGCATCATGCCTGTTAATGTTTGGTGCTGCTGCCTTTGTCTTTAATGTTCTGATATCGCCTCTTTTCTTAATCAGTGTGAGCAAAGATTCATCAACACAGAACTTACCAAATGCAGCAAAGATTATGGAGAAGGAAGGTGATGGTGATAATAAACTGGAGGGGCAGAGGAGCCCTGAAGTTGTTGAAACTTCATTAGCAGCAGCTGATGACAATGTACCAGACACAAGTTTGGTGCAGGTCTCGACAGTGAAGACTGTGGAGGTCTCAGATGAAGGAGTTGCAAGGGTAATAAACTTGTTGTGATGATTGATTTCGCTGAACCTATTATACATACGTCCTATTCACGTTTTCTTTTACAGCTTGAAGTACCAAGAGTTATTGTTGATGACAATGGTGCTGCAACTGACTCTCTGAATCGTGTGGAGGAAAATGGTACACCAGAGTATGGAGAAGAAGATGGCAGCATACTCCATGAAGTTGAAAATGATGATGATGACGAGGGAGATGAGGAGGAGGATGAAGATGACGAACATCCGGGTGAGGTGTCCATCGGAAAGAAGATCTTCAGATTTTTTACAACGTGATGGATGTAGTTATATTTCATTTATATCACAGTAGATATACAAATGTTATCGTACCTTATTTAGGAGATTAGGCTTGTAATATTACTTATTACTTTGGGTTAGCTTCCATGTTTGTGTTAGCATTTATTACTGGCATGTGAGAAGCATTGTTCTGCTGCCTGTGTTCTCAATATCTGTTCTCTTGCAATTAGATTTGCTGCATAGAAACTATGTTTTCCAGAAATGAACTAAAGGGGGGACTCCGTTTATTCAATAGTAATATTAGCGTTTACATTTGATAAAATTAAGCAATTTTAGAAAACTATTCGGAGCATGAACAGCTACTCCACTATAAGTTTATACCAAAACAACTTAAAATAAAGTTTACACATGGCAGTTTGCGGTTGGTTCTGAAGGAATCTTTTTTCGTCATCTTAATTATTGATGCTGATTGGTCCGCCATTACTCCCAGTAGTTACTACCTGTGGTCTTATCTAGGTTTTGAAAAAACATCATGAAAAGTCTTATTTCCATTTGCATAAATATAAGTGCCAATGCTAAAACAAAATTAATGCAGCTCTGTGCACTACTATTTTGACTAGATGCTTTAGCTATTCACTTTTAATCATGATGATGAAACTCTATTTTTAATTTCTGTAAAAATTTAATTATACATTTAGTCTAACGTTTTTAAAATTAAGTTAATTTGGTTCATTTTTATTAGGTCATTTAACTGTATAAAAAATTTCAATTGAAGAATTAAATTGTAAAGTATATTTTAAAATCTACTTTAAGATATAAAAGATGAGAAAGAATATTATGTTGTTGCCTTCATTTAGGTGCTTGTCATGGTTTGGATATTGACAATTTGATGTTATTCAAAATATCATCGACTTTTTTAGTTGAGATTATGATTGAGATAACTTCATCATGATTGGTGTTTAGGTTTTGGTTGAAGATACTTTTGATTCGTTCTGATTCTTGATATCGTAGATTTGACCTTCCCTTTTGTTTTATTAACTCATCCCTAGTTGAGATATCTTTGCTTAAACCTCGATTAAGTGAATTGATCTAATAACAAATTTCATGAATAAAATTCAATTAATGAAACTTTTAATCAAGGTCAAATTGATAATATCATGATTAAAAAAATTAAATCTATATTAATACTCTATTTAACAAATTAAATATAAAAACAAACTTCTTTGTTTGGATTATTGAAATTATCCACTCTTAATAGAAAGTGAGGGTTTTTTCTTAATTAAAATATAAACTCACATTTATATAACTTATTTTTATTAAAAAATGTTTTCTTTAATTTCCTTTCTTAACGAAAAACTTAAAAATTATTTCATTTTTCACTTATTGTTTTTTCTATGTTTTACTTTCTTTTTTAAATTAGCCGAAACTGTGACGGAAGGGAGGTTGGTGGGGTCACATCCCAATTTTTTTTAAAGATTTTATTAAAAAATATAGTATGATCCTTTAAATAATATTTGTACATTTTAATTTTTAAGATTAATTTTATAATTTCACCGTTGAACTGGAGTAAAAAATAAAAATAACTTTTACTTGACATAACATATTTTTTTATTAAATTTTGCTATAAAACAAATAGAATAAAAATAAAATTAAACAAAAATAATTTTACGTCAGAATAAAATTTACAAATTAAAAAAAATATACAAAAGTAATTTTATATAACGTAGATTGAAATACCTGTTACAAAAACTGATATATATATTATTGTAAAGACAAAAGCCAAACAAATCGAGTAATATAAGTTGTATTAAGTTTGTTTTTATATCAGTCAATCCATTAATAAAAAAAAAGTGATTTTACTTTAATTTAAAGAAGACTCATATTGAAAAGTAAAAAAGAAAAAGAGTTACATTAAATACTAAGAACACTAATTAATTATTTTATTTTTCCTGCATGTTTTATCCTTCACAATAGGGTAGCCAGAAGAAACATAGGGCAGAAAAAGACTTGCCAACCTACCATAGGCTCGGGCCTCAGCCTTTTCTGATTTTCATTGTCTCTTTTATTCTGTTTATAATCGTACTTACTCAAACTAATATATATTATATTTGTTTAGTACTCTCAATCAGTGCATGTTTTTTTTTTCTCTCAACTCTTTTACAAATAAAACCGTAATAAACTATAATTCTAATACTACCAATCCCTCAACCATAATAATTGATGTTAACAATATTTCATACATTATTCATGAAACATGAAAATATTATTTAATGACGAGATTATCTAGTATTGATTATTTCTTTTCAACTTGTTATAATACTTTACAAAGATAAAAATAAGTAATATATTAATTATATAAAACTTATATTTTGGATATAATAATAGTAGTAGTAATAATAACTATTCACTTAATAAATAATAATACAAGTAATAATGTAGAATATTTAATATAGATCGTGCCCATAATTAAGAGTAATTAACAAATACCAGTATTAGATATACAACTTGGGAGAAAAGTGTATACTCATTCAAATGAAATTATGGATCTGAATATTAATTTTATGAACGAATGCCATATATTATGTACATGTCCTTATTCAATATATTTAATTCAATTATTTATCCAAGAGGGTCCTTAGTTCCTTTTAAAACAATTTTTTTAATAATAACTAAAATCTTATCACGCCATTAAACTCATGCAAGTTAAATTCTCGGATATATAATTTGAAACCATTTATAATAATTTCTTAAAATAGTTATAAAGAAAACAATAGTTATTACTCATCACCTACCCTGCAACCCAGAATAATGCAGTATAACTAATTTGTACAAAATTACCAATTTACACCAAGCCAAGTGTGTCACTGCAAAATTATTCAGTTACAAGAAAACAGAAACCATTTGCAGCACTTTAGAGTTACGTGAGTTTGTTTAAGTAGTTTTAGTACTTCAAACATGATGTTACCTGAAAATTCTAATCAGAATGTTTGTTTTAGAGCTATAAAGCGTTCCAAAGTGCAAATGTACTTGAATAAAAGCTTGATTTTTATTTATTTGTTTAGCATAAACACATATAAAAGAAACACGCAGTCTATGATTATTAACATTTTTTTAATCATACAACAATGTTGCCAATTTTCTTCTCTTTTTGCTGAGACATGAATATCCAGACTACAAATTTTGAGCATAATGAAAGACTCTGAGGAGGTTTTTTTGGTACAAAATAATGTGGTCCTCATGATCCAACAGCAATGCAATGGCATGAAATGAAGCAATATGGTTAGCTTCACTTTTCAAAGCCACTGTGGTCACTTGTCCTTTTTCCCCTGCAGTTTCAGAGTGCTGTTAAAAGCCCCCCAGGCCACCACCACCAAACAAGACAACAAGGCAATAACAGATAAAAGCCTACTTTGTCTTGCATGCACTTACATGCACCTTTCATTTTTTCCATGCATGATGGTCCCCTACTCGTATCTTACCCTCTAATTTCTCACAATTCCCTTAACCAATCTAACATGGCATGTTAAACTGAAAGAAAATAATAATTTATAACAACAGTGAGTTGTTTATATGTTCCAACTGTAAATAAGTTTTGTAGAAGTGTTTATATTGATAGCAGATAAAAATTAAACTTTATTAATTGAAAAAAGTATAAACATAAATCTTAAATATTTTTCTTTGTTTATTGGTTCGATAACTAGTGTCTTGTTGTGATAATAATCCTGATGTGGTATTCAATAATTGAATCAGAAAGTGTGTGCCATTTTCAGACCAAATTTCGCTTTCATCTTATATATAGGCCTTCAGTCACTTGATATAGCTCTGGCCATATTAGAGTCATTAATATTATGACTTTGTACATTGAGAACTGTGCTAACATAAGATCTCGTGTTGTTCTCTTTTATCTGCTATATACTTCCTTAGCTTTTCCATAAACACACGGAAAAAAAGAGGTCAGCTTTCTTGTTATGCATTTTTTTTCCTCTACCATTAGCCTTTTTCTCTCAAGTTTTGAACACAATTTCAGGATCCTGTTCTTCCTTTCTTGATGCTAGAATCTGCTCCATTTGTTTTATCAAAATACCACTGGTTAAAAGATCCCTAGCTTTCCGTAGGGACCCATGTTGGTATTTGTTTTGTCTTGATATACTATTTACTGTTGAGGGAGTAAGTCAGCTGTTGTTCCTCCTCCTTTGTCTGTCCTTTTTCTTGTAATTTAGTTGGATGTTGTTTCTCTGTGAAAAAGTGGAGTGTCTATGCAAATCATAAAGCAAATTATGCGCTAGAGTTCAAGGCAAATTAGCTCCTTCTGTTTGTGTTTGTTTCATCAATTTTGCTCCAACCACCTTGGGTTTATCCTGTGCATGATAGTGCTGCTTTCACTCAATTACCTCATGAGGAACTTCAAGGCTTTTATTCATGCCGTCATTGCTCTCTTCATCATCTCTCTGGGTGCTAGGTGTGATGGACAAGTAGAACTTGACACGGTTCTAATGGAGAAGGCTGAGAGGGATGCTCTATTCTCCACCATTCAGGGCTTTGTTGGTAACTGGTGGAACGGTTCAGATCTCTATCCAGATCCTTGTGGTTGGACTCCTATTCAGGTGCTTTTCAGTTTTGACCCATCTGAATGACTATGGATGATAATAGTGCAAAATTTCCAAGCAACTACCTTTATACTGTGCTATGGATAAGCTTAGCACATTTTAAATTTTTTCTGGTTGAAGTTATGAGACCATCCTTGCATGCAAGCATTTAAAATTGTTATCTTTTCCTTAAAGATTTCAGTTCAGGGTTATCAACTCATCATTATTATGGCAGTAAATGAGGTAGTGAATTTTTCTACAAATGAATTGTGAGATGAACTTTTGCATTCTGCAGCAAGCCATAGGAAAAGAAACTCACTTGGCTTAATTTTTTCCAATTATACAGAGTCCAAAATTTTTCTTCTTGAAAGATTTTTTTAATAAAATGATACCTTTCAAAGTATGAATATCATTTATTTTATCTTTTTTCCCCTTAAGTTAAACTGGTCCTTGTAAAATGTTGCATGCATTAAGTAATCACTAAATCTGTTTCCTATTGAGCCCTGTTCTCTTATTCAACCAAGAAGTTATAAATATTCCAAAACAGTTGATCTTAAAATATTGTTTATTAATATTTAGTATTCTTTTATGCTGCAGGGAGTTTCTTGTGATCTGTTTAATGGATTTTGGTATGTTACTGTCTTGAACATTGGACCAGTCCACGAAAATTCTCTAAGGTGTGCCAAAAATTTGGAATTCAGACCACATTTGTTTGAGCTGAAGCACCTTAAATCTCTATCCCTATTCAAATGCTTTAAATCACAACGGCATCAGGTTACCATTCCCAATTCAAACTGGGAAAATCTGGCTGGCAGCTTAGAATCACTTGAGTTTAGATCGAACACGGGTCTCGTTGGAAAAATTCCTTTAAGTTTTGGTGTCCTCAAGAAGCTTCAATCCTTAGTACTAATACAAAATGGTTTAACAGGTCAAATTCCACCAGATATTGGCAACCTCAACAAGTTGAAGAGGCTTGTCCTTGCAGAAAACTATTTTAGTGGACACATTCCAGATATTTTTAGTGCACTGGGTGACTTGTTAATACTTGATTTAAGTAGAAATTCACTTTCCGGGTCTTTACCGTTGACACTTGGAAGCTTAACTTCCCTTTTGAAGCTTGATGTGAGCAATAACCATTTGGAGGGGAATCTTCTGAAAGAATTTGCTAATCTTAAGAATCTGACCCTTATGGACCTTGGAGATAACAGATTCTCTGGAGGGTTGACATTGAGTATTCAAGAGATGTATTCTTTAGAGGAAATGGTTTTGTCCAACAATGCAATAGGTGGAGATATCAGGACCCTAAAGTGGGAAAACCTTCATAACTTGGCCACTTTGGATCTCTCTAACATGGGGTTGAAAGGGGAAATTCCTGAGTCTATATTAGAATTGAAGAGGTTGAGATTTCTAGGCCTTAATGACAACAACCTCACAGGAAACCTTTCACCAAAACTATCAACTCTTCCTTGTCTCAATGCACTCTATGTTAGTGGTAACAATCTTGCAGGAGAGCTTAAATTCTCTATGGAGTTTTATGGAAAAATGGGAACACGTTTTGGGGCCTGGAACAACCCCAACCTTTGTTTCCCTCTAGGAGTATTGCCAACAAGTCATGTTCCATATGGGGTAAAACCATGTCACCAAGAGATCAAATTGGTAGAATCTAATACAGATACTGGGGATGTGAACAAGACTTCCCATTCCACAGCCTCTTTGGGACTTATGAGCCATGGTCCAAATGACTTCTGGTGGACTTTTCCATTGATTATGGTTCTCTTGCTAAATTCATATATAGGTCTTTAATCAAGATAGTAGTTCAACTTTGGCCTTAACTTTATAGGGGTATTAGCTACAGCAACCTGTATTGTAGTACTTCTTTATTTTGTTATGACACAAGTTGACAGTGTTTTTTCAATTTGCTAGTTGGCCTCATCTTACCATGTATACTCCATCTAATTTACATACATAAATGCTTGGGTACGTTGAGTTTAAGAATCTTAATTAGGATAAAGAGTTGAGACAAACTTCAAACAGCAAAAAACACTTACAGAGAGATATTTAAAGAGTACTTATCAGACATAACATGATATTCATTGATGTTTGTACAAATTAGTTCCCAGAAGAATCCAATTTTTCATCTGAGATTATAATTCCATTAAGGGTAGCTCAAGTCTTTGATTCTGAATACTTTGCTTTCCCAATGTTCAAACAAGAAAGCAAGAGGGGCCACTCTACAAATGGAATACATAACAGTAATGTCAATGTCTCAAGTCACAGCTCCTTACAGTTGGTGCACAGGTAAGGCCTAAGAACCTAACAGTGTATGCTGGTACACTTATTTTCATCGTACAAATAATTGAACTTATCATTGGATTTACTGTTTGTATTTTGTGCAAAAAAATTGAACTCATTTTGTTGCCTAATCCAATTGATATATAATCAATTTCAATGAACAAGCTTTAGATAATATTGGAACAGTTTCAGCATAAATGTTATACTTTATACAAAGTTTTGAATTGTTATGTGAGTATAATTATTGCGATCATGCAAACATTGTTTGTCTTCTTGTCCCTCCTTGAATTAATTTGTGCTCCGGATACAATTTTGCTGTTAATGGTAGAAATTTGGTTGGTTTGATAGAAATTGGCATCTTTATATATCATGTAAGAACAAGCTGAATCTTGAGAGGAATCTATATTCACTACCTCAAGTTAATTTAGACAAATTTAAGGTTTCATAAAGGCTTAATTTAATTATTTGGTAGGTTACGTAATTATTTATGAGTTTTTTTAATTAAATCTTGATCAGACAAATTTTTTAACTGGGTCTTTACAATTTTTAAAATCATCATAGATTATTTTTTATAGAAATTTTAAATTGTTAAAAAAATAATTTCAAAGACTTTTACTCTTTCAGAGCATGAAGAGCATGAATGAAAAACACGAGTTACAAATATAACAATTGAGGGATAATATTACAAAAAAAATTGTGAAAACTAAAAGAAACATATATTTTTGTTAGTTGTTATATATATTATTTATTTTGTAATATATTTATAAGACATATTTTAATTTTAGCTTCTATTTTTAATTCTAAAATTTAGTTATATATAAAGTTAACATTGATAAAAAAAAAAATCTTTTGGATACACTTTTTAGATTTTTTTTTAAAATTATAAACTAATTTGTAAAAAGTTATTATATTTACCTATCTAAAATCTGATTTTAATCTGATACATAAATTACAACATGTCAGAAGGGAAATAATTTAAACTGTGAACTGTTCAGACAAGTTTCTTGAGAGGTGAGCGACAGTTTTATAATTTATATATATATATATATATATATATATATATATATATATATATATATATATATATATATATATATATATATATATATATATATATATATATATATATGTAAATTTATGATTTTAGTTCTTTAAATTTAATTATTATTAAATATCTTTATAATTTTGTTATTTTATTTTTTATGTTTATTTATTATTTATTAATAATATTTTATTTAATTTTTAAAATGATTACATAATGTGGCGTTGCTTGAGATGAATATAGTGTCTAATGGAGACTCTTAACAAGAGGAATTAACTACGTATCCAACATCTTGTGGTGGGTTATTGTCTGTTGTGTCTGATGAACAGAAGCATATAATGCAGACATATTTGTGAAGACTTACATTTGTGAAGTTAGGAGGAATAAGGAAACTGGATCCGGAATGAGTGTTAGGGATTTCTAGCTTTTGATTTCCGAGGCAATGGCATTTATTTGTGTGTGACTTTAAGAGGGTGAAAGTGAAATGTGAAGGTGAAGTATGGTCCTATAGGTGTAGGGATTGTTGTGTTGTTGATGATGAAATGGGTAGGGTGGAAGCAGTGGCTTTAATGGAGGCTGTGGTGTTTAAAGTGTACAATGATGGGGTTGGGTCACTGCACTCACTTTCTTCAAGATTGGTTTTTTCGTTTATACGCAGGGCATTAAACAACGAACAACTGTGCAACCACATTTAATGTGTCTCATCATCTCTCCTTCTTCTTCCACTTGCTTCCACTTCCCCAAAACCTTAATTCATCCTCATCTTATTCCTTTTTCAACGTGTTCATCATGTCTTCTACTTACAATTTTTTTTCTTTTTCTTAAATTTTTATATCTTTTTAAATTTTCATGATGATTTACTGTATTATAAATTTTAAATGTTCGGCCTTTATGGACCCTTTCAGCTCCTTGGCCCAAATAAGACTCCGCAGGCCCAAACCCTCCCTGATCGTGACCAATTTTATTATTATTATTATTATTATTATTATTGAATTTTGGAAAAAAAATATACATTGTGATCTGGGTGAAATTTTGCTGCTAATAGGTACTAATAGCATAAAAAAACTAAAAAACTTGGGTTGCTTTCAGAGAATTTGGGTTAAGATGATGTTTGAAAGCAACTAAACAAGAAGTAGGGGTATTAATCATCGGTATCATCACTTGTTTTTGTATTGCTGGCTTCATTTATTTACAAGATAATTTTGATAGATTTGGATTTTAAAAAAATAATATTTTGAGGATGATTTATAAATTTGAGCGTTCTAACTCATTTAATATCTTAATCTTTTATTGATGATAATAAAAATTATTTAACAGATGATATTTTATACATAAGAAACAAATCTCTAACACTGTTCCTTCTAATAACCCCGTAAATAAAAGTATAATTAAATTTCATATTTATAAAAAAAAAAATTTAACCAGAGAATATTAAGAATAATTTTGCTTTAAACAATGAAATACCATCTCTTCAAATTTTATTATTTAAGAAAAAAAAAAGACCTTACAAATTGTTGTGCGTTGCGTATAATGATTTTTATGACAATAACATTAAAAAAAAGTGATAATTGATAAAAATATTTCCAAAAACCCCCTTTTTTGTATTGAATATGATAGTACAATATATACATGAAATACAGAAACATTCTAGGCTATAATTACGCTAACCATTATAGTCGGTATCCTAAATTTGTCTATTAACAGATATGACATTAATGTGCATCACTGTGCATCATTGTCATGCCAAGCTAAATATGGAAAAAATTAATCATGTAGAATCATGGCATGATACTGGTATTTGTAATCGTATATTCTATGTTTATCACCCTCCCTCAAGATGGAGTATGAAGGTTGTGAATGCCCAACTTGCCTAAAAAAGAACCAAATTTAGTGGCGCCAAGAGATTTGGTGAAGAGATCGACCAGTTGATGATGAGTGGACACATAGGAGGGTTGGATATGATTGTGTTGTATTTCATCACGAATAAGATGACAATACACTTCAATATGTTTTGTCCGTTCATGAACCACAGGATTCTTGGCAATGTGAAGGGCAGCTTGGTTGTCACAGTAGAGAGTCATAGGGTCGGTGTGAGTAATGCCTAGGCTCGAAAGAAGGCCTTGAAGCCATTTCAACTCACATGTCGTGTTGGCCATAGAACGATATTCCGCCTCAGCGGATGATCTAGAAACCGTATGTTGCTTCTTGGTTTTCCAGGAAACGTGGGATTGACCAAGGAAAATAAACCAACCTAGTGAGAGATCTTCGAGTTAGAGGACAACTTGCCCAGTCCGAGTCACACCAACCATAAAGACGAAGGTCACTCTCTCTTTTTAAAAGCACACCTCGACTCGGGCTGCCCTTTAAATAGCGTACCACGCGAAGTGCAGCCCGCCAATGCTCCTGACGCGGTTGGTGCATGAATTGAGATAGGACATGAACACTCGTAAGATAATTCGAGTCGTGTAAAACACAAGTAAATAAGGCGACCGACGAGACGTCGATATTGACTCGAGTCGGAAAGTAGTTCGCCATCGATCAATGCTAAACGATGATTTTCTTCGATTGGCGTGGACACGAGTTTCCCTCCAAGCAATCCCGCTTCAGCCTATGATGTCCAACGCATACTTCCGTTGACACAAGAAAATTCTCGTAGGAGATCCGGCAACCTCCACCCCAAGAAAGTATTTTAATTTCCCTAAGTCCTTCATACGAAAACATTGATGAAGATAATCTTTGAATTGCACAATGTCTTCATGATGATTGCCAGCAATGACTAGGTCATCCACGTAAACTAACACAACCGAGTTCGACATCTCCTTTGCGAAAGATGAACAAGGAGTGATCGGACGAAGAACGTTGAAACCCATATTGAACAAGAGCAGTTGAGAGCTTGGCAAACCAACACCGAGGAGCTTGACGAAGACCATAAAGGGACTTGCGGAGACGACACACCATACCCTTTTGAGACACCAAGAACCCCGGCGGCATTTTCATGTACACATCTTCCTCAAGATCGCCGTGCGGAAAAGCATTATGGACATCCATTTGATGAAGTTCTCGGTCTTTGGCAACCGCCACCGCCAACACTGTCCGAATGGTGACCATCTTTGCCACTCGGGCAAAAGTCTCGTCATAGTCAATCCCCTCAACTTGGTGATTTCCCAAGACAACTAATCGGGCTTTGAAGCGTTCAACGCTCCCATCAGAATGATATTTGATTTTATAAATCCACTTGCAACCCGGAGGCTTCTTCCCTGCCGGTAGAGGAGTAATGTCCCATGTTTCATTACTTTGGAGGGCCTCGAATTTCACTAGCCATGGCATCTCTCCATCTAACATCCCGAACAGCTTCAAAGAAATGCACAGGTTCTCTCTCGCATGAAGGGCCGCAAGAAAGGTTCGGTGGGGGAAGGAGAATTTAGCACAATTTAAGTACTTTGTCAAACTGTAAGGCATACCCGAGGAAGCCGAATGTGGAGTGCGAATTGAGGGACCGAGTTGTAAAGTGGTGTTAGTGACATAATCACGAAGCTTCACGGATGGCTTTCGTACACGAAGACCTTTCCCCAGGGATGCGGGGACAGTATGCTCCTCAGGAACCTCTAGTTCTGTCATCATAGAGTCGGTTTGTTCTGGTGGGAGATCGATCCGGGTGGGAGGCTCTTGTTCATGGCATTCGGCGTGGTCCTCCCCGAACTCGGTTGTGGGCACATCTTCGTTGTGGGGTTAACGTCATCGGTCTCCACAACGTGTTCCGCATTGTTCATTACACCAAGTCCAGGCAATGCTTCCTCGACAATGCCAACATCAACGATGAGGCAATCCTACCTCCGAATGTCTACCGTGGGCAAGAGAGGCAAACGGAATTCATGTTCTACAAACTTAACATCTCTCGAAGTCCGGAAGACTTCTCTTTCCGGATCAAACAATTTCCAGCCCTTTTTTCGATTGAATATCCAACAAATACATTCTTGCGACTTCTACTTGCAAATTTGTCACCTTTCCTATCTTGGTTATGTGCATAACACAAGCATCCAAATACCCGTAGATGGTCATAAGTGAGTGGCTTCCCATTCAATATTTCATATGGAGTTTTTCCATGGAGAACGGTTGAGGGTGTACGATTGATCAAGTATCCTCGCGGTCAAAATGCATTCTCCCTGAATTGAAATGGAAGTTCTCCCCGAAATCGTAGAGCACGAGCTACATTTAGGATGTGTCAATGTTTTCGTTCGGCTCTCCCATTTTGCTGAGGTGTTCCGAGTGCATGAGGTTTGATGGAGTATCCCATGTTGCTTGAAAATATCGTTGAAGACACATAAACTCGGTTCCATTGTCACTTCGTAATATTTTGACTTGTTTCTCGTATTGTCGTTCTATTAAGGCGATGAAATGCATTAAGGTTTGTGACACATCTTTCTTATTATTCAAGAGATATATCCACACAGCTCGAGAACGAGTCATCAACCAAAGTGAGAAAGTAAGATGCACCATAAGACGAGGGAGTTCTATATGGACCCCATACATCACAATGTATTAAATCAAATATATTGGATGCTTGAAAATCACTTAAAGGAAATGTGTTTCTGCATTGCTTTGATCTCTCACACACTTCACACACACGAGTTGTATCCGTATTTCTATTCACGCCTGTTCGGATGCGGAATTTTTCTAACAATCTGGTAGGCGGGATGTCCCATTCGCTTGTGTCAAATCTCTAGTTGATTTTCCGCATTGGTCCGATACGCCTTTATGCCACTCACACCACGATACCAATAGAGTCCCTCTTTTCGTTCACCCGCACCAATCAGCATCCTCGAAGTGTGGTCCTGCATTGCACAAAATCTATCAGTAAAATGTACTGTACATTTTACTTCATTCGTCAATTGTGATACTGAAATCAAATTGCAATTCAATTTCGGAACATATAGAACATGTTTAAGTTTCAGTCCTCCATCAAGGAAAACCGATCCTTCTTTGTTTGCCAGCACCAATTCACCATTTGGTAGTCCCACTGGGCACCCTTCCAAGGCTCGACTCTCCCTCAAGTTTTCTAGTGTTCCTGTCATATGATTAGAGGCGCCACTATCAATAATCCACAAGTCACATGCTTTCTTACCAGTCATCTTTTCAGTTTCATTTGCCTTGCGAGAATTCAACATTGTTGTCAAGATCTGCCATTGCTCATTACTCAGTCCTGCGACTTCTGGTTTTTCGGTTGAACCAACGTTATCTCGCACCAGGTGTGCGCCATATTGACGCGAGTCGTTCCTCCTTTTCCTCGGAAGGTTCCTCGTTCTTTGTTGATTTTTTTCATCGTTTTTATCGGTTCGTGGTCTCTCTCCCCACCATTCGGGTAACCAATGATCTTGAAGCAATTGCCTTTGTCATGTCCCTTCCTTCCACACCGCATGCAAACAACTCGATTTTTCTTTCGCTTCATTGCGCAACTTGTTCCTGGTTTTCGCTCGCATAGCCATTCCCACGATCATTCCTCGCTCTTCTTTAGACCTGGTGATTGTTCTCACCCTTTCTTCTTGCACCATGGTGCCATACACCCGATTCAACGAGGGTAATGGATCCGTTGCCAAAACATTTGACCGTGCAGTTCCATAGCCCTCATCATCTAGCCCCATCAAGAACCGATGAATTTTTTCTTCTTCTCTTCGTTTCTCAAGTTGCGTCATAATAT